TTAAAGCTTGGGGTATTCAGTGAACCCTTTGGGGTATTTAGTGGACCTCTGTGCAGCAGGGTTAGTACTGTGATTTGCTCCGGTACAGTGTTGCTAGCACACCTCAATGGACTCCATAGCATTGTGTGATTTTTGATTTTATACATTGCCCTTGTGACATCGTATTTGTGAGCATATGATTTTAGTATATGAATTCAATTTAAATGTCATTGATTATTCCTTGACATTTGTGCTTATGATTTGAGATATTAAGTTATTATTTAAATAGTGAGAATTATAATATTATGTGATTTGATTCCGTTGCGTCTTATACTCTTTGTGTGGATAGATCTAAAGGTCTTAGGACCTAAGTTTATAGCTTAAACTTATTACTTACTGGGCTGTGAGCTCATAAAATTCCCCCCCCCCCCATTTTAGATCAGTAGATTGAGATAGCAGCACCTCAGTTTAGGAGCTTTTGGCACGGGACTTGCATGCTCGTTGTATGTACAAGCTAGGGCCTCGTGTTTTCGATAGGGAGGCAAATCGATGTATTACCAAAACAATGACTCAGCTTTTGTTTTTTTTTAAAAGCTTTGAAGAAGAATTTGCCTCGTATAATTTTTGTGTAAATTACCTTTATGTATAAATCTTTAAATTAATTATAAATGAGCTTAACTCAGTTTATCTTATAACTTTGAATATGTTGGCATTTTTCAATATATATATGATATTCTTTTTATTAAATTGATTTTCTGAATGTAAGCTTTCTTTTGAAGAAATATTTTATATCATAAGTGTTTTTTACTTCCGCTGTAATTCTTTACTATAAATTTTGTTTTCGAACTCTTCTAGGACTAAGAGTGCCTAGGGAGGTGTGTTATATTTTTTCGTATTAGAGCCAAGGTTTTGCTAATATATTGATCTGTCATATGAGTTAGAGTCTAGTGTCATAGGATTAGATTTTGCCTAACTATTAGTTTTGCACTCTTTGTTTGTATCAGTACCGGAGAAGGAAGATGAGTCAAGGAGACAATACTTCTACTCCTCCTGCTGCTGATGACGTGAATGCCCGAATGGATATAATGCAAAAGGCCATTACGGATATGAGTTCCATCTTTAGGGATTATCTTCAACATCAGAACAACAATAATGCCCCACAAAACACTGGTGGCAATTCACAGCAAACAGTGGACTCTAGAGAAGGAAATGAGCAGTTGACATTGGTGAAGCAATTTCAGAACATGAACCTGCCTAGCTTCAAGGGAGTTCCTGATCCCGATGTGGCTGAGTCTTGGGTTAAGAACTTAGAAAAGATGTTCAAGCTCCTGAAATGTACTGACGGGCAAAAAGTGGAGCTAGCAGTGTCCACATTAGAAGGTGAAGCTGATGATTGGTGGACAACTGCTCAAGATGGGTTTTCTAGGAGAGGGGAGGAGGTTACATGGGACAAGTTTGTTTAGGCCTTCTATCGAAAATATTTTTCTATAGTTGTGTTGGAAAGAAAGGAATTGGAGTTCATGAATTTGAAGCAAGATGACATGACAGTTGATGAGTATCAAGCTAAATTTAGTTCTCTTATGAAGTTTGCTCCTCACCTTGTTAATGATGAAGTTAAAAAGGTAAGGAAGTTTCAAAGAGGGTTGAAAGCTTCCATTAGAAACAAGGTGGTTCCTCAAATGCTAAAGACTTATGATGAGGTCTTGGCCACGACTCAAATAATTGAGCAAGATATGGAGGAGCAAAGAATGGAGACTCATGACTCAAAAGGCAAGGGAAAGGCGATCAGCACCCAGCCTTTCAACAAGAAGCCTGAACAAAGGGGAAAAAGGAAGATCCCTGAAAGCGATCGACCAAGTTTTGATTTTTGTAAGAGGTGCAGTAAGAACCATGGGGGAAAAGAATGTTATTGGCAGATTGGGGCATGTTTCAAGTGTGGGAAGACTGACCACTTGATCAAGGATTGCCCGGTTCTCAAGGGAGCAAGTCAGTAGCCAAAGGATCAAGATAATAAGAAGCCCATGGTTCAAGGAAGAGTTTTTGCCTTCACAGAACAACAAGCTCAAAACACTTCTACAGTTAGAAAAGGTAAAATACCTATCTCTTTTGGGAATGCCCATGTGTTGATTGACTATGGATCTACCCACTCATTTGTGTCACCTAAATATGTGCCATTTTTGCATGTGGAGCCTGAGACCCTTGATTGTGTGCTTGTGGTGAATACTCCTTCTAAGGAGGTTTTAATAGCCAAAACCATTTATAGATCTTGTAGAGTTATGGTAGAGGGTAGAGTTTTGCTTGCCAATCTAATTTTGTTAGGTATAGTAGAATTTGATGTCATACTTGGTATGGATTGGTTGTGTACCCATTATGCCATGGTTGATTGTTATGAGGAGGTGGTTACTTTCTCCGCTCCTAACTAGCCTGTGATTCGATTTGAAGGAGAAAAAGTTAGATCATTTCCATTACTTGTTTCTTGCATGCAAGCTGATAAAATGTTGCAGCAAGAGCATTATGGATATCTGGCATATGTTTTTGAATCTAAAGACAAGCCGGTGTCTGTAGAAGGAATTTGGGTAGTGGAAGACTTTCCTGATGTTTTCCCTAAGGAGTTGCCTGGGTTACCTCCAAATAGGGAGATTGAGTTTACTATAGATCTTATGCCTAGTACTGCACCAATATCCCAGCAACCTTATAGAATGGCCCTAGCAGAATTGATTGAATTGAAAAAGCAGTTGCAAGAGCTTCTTGATAAGGGGTTCATTAGACTCAGTACTTTTTCCTGGGGTGCTCCGATTCTTTTTGTGAAAAAAAAAGATGGCTCACTTAGATTGTGCATTGACTATAGACGGTTGAATCAAGTCACTGTCAATAATAAATATCCTTTGCCAAGGATTGATGATTTGTTTGATCAGTTACAAGGGGCTCGTGTCTTTTCCAAAATGGTTAAATACCCTTTTTGGTCCCTCTACTATAGGAAAAAGCCCCTTTTTGGTCCCTATACTGAAAAAATCCCCTTTTTGATCCCTAAATTTTAAAATCTGGCCCCTTTTTGGTCCTTTCGTTAATTTTTGCTCGCGTGGCATGTTAACTTAACTGAAACGGCTGATGTGGATATGCCAACATGTCAAAGATGCTTACATGGATTTAATTACACCCTACATGTCACCTTTTCCCGCGTGGAAAATTAAAAAAAAAAAGGTTAAATACTAAATTTGGTACCTCAACTTTATAAATTTACACTTTTTTTTGTCTTAAATTATTTTTTTTCATTTTTTTCTCTTTTAATTCTAAAAATTACATAATTTTAGTCCTTCCATCAATTAAATATGAGGTGACAATTAAATAATTTCTTTGACTTTTTTTTTTATGACATGGTAATTATATATATATTATATTTATAGTATATAGATAAATAAAAATGTCAAGTAAATAAATATTTATATTTTAATTAAAAAATAAAATTACATTATTACCTTCCCCTCTTACTCCCTCTTCTTCCCCTTCTTTCTTTCTCTTTCTTTCTTTCCTACACAAATCAAACTCACTAAAACCTGCAAAAA